CCCCCCCCCCCCATTCACTTTTTCCATTAGGCAGCTCTGCCAGCTCTCTATTTACAATCCAAGCAATTATTAAAACGTTGAGGTGGCAGGATGTGCTGTTACATTCTGTTTCATCTCTGCAGCTTTTAAAGAAACGTGTCACGCGGGCTTATTTAGGGTAAGTTAAAAATAAAGTGTTATTTTGGGGATGATGATGAGTAGAGCACTGCTCACCTTACAGACCAGCTCGTCCCCGCTGTGCAGGTGGGCGGCTCTGAAAACGTGGTCCCCCTCCAGGGGCTCCAGCAAAAGGTAGTCCCCGATGCGCGAGATGCAGTGCGAGGTGTCCGGGGTCTCCGGCGGGCTGGGGGAGCCGAGGTTGGGGCTGAAGCTCTGGTTCGACTCTGCAGTCCTGAAGCAAGACAACTCGTCGAAGTCGTGCGATTTGAGCCGCGATCTCCCATGACGTGAAATGCTGATTGGAGTCGACCTCTGTATGTTCATGAGGAATAAAAAGTGGGAGATCTCCGCGGAAAAAACCTGAAGCCTCTTGTTGTTGTTGTCGCCTCTTCAGTCYGAGCACCAACCTGCTGTTTGAGGATGTAGCTAGCTGTGTGTGTGAGTTTTCATTCAGCAAAACAAAGGCTTTAATTCCCCACCATTCCTGAGCCCGCTTCGCCTCTTCGACATTCAGTAAATAAAGCAGAGCCGGGCCGAGTCGAACCTCCACCGAACAGCGACGAGAAGCGGCCGAGACAAAAAGCTGCAACAAAGGCTACCAAAAGTTAGCTTCGTTGGAAATGAATGGAGAGTCGACCCCCAGCTACTTCGGCTAGCTTATCGTTACCGGTGAATGCTTAGACACGTTTCGTAAAACGGAAACAATAATACGTTGCAGGCACAGACGAAAAAAAAAAGCTTAACAAATATAAGTTTTTATCTGAGGTAATTACAGAGATAGGTCAGTGCACGGCCTGGTTCTCCGGGATCACATCCATGCACGGTGATTGTCATGTAGCACATAAAGAGAAAGCCACATCCGGAAAGTCTGCTGCTGCTGCGGCTCTTTGTGTGCAGGAGGTCGTCTGCTCTTTTTGTCCAATGGAAGAAGAAGAAGAAAAAAAAAAGTGCCCGTCTGTCTGCTGCTGAAAGCTTATGGAAGGAAGAAAGCGAGGAAGGAAGGGACGGCCGGCCGACTTTCCCAGGCCAATCCCTCGATTCAGCAGGACATCCTCTCCCGTAGTACCGCTGTGCTTCTTACGTGGCCGGGAATCTAGTCCATTCAGAGCGGAGCTGCGCTGCACGCACTGTGCCTGTACAGACAGAACAAGCTGCCTTCCTGCCGGACGGCCGGGGGGGGAGGGGCTAATGATAAGTATGGCAGGACGGTTTGGCAGATAATCAAACCACTTTCCTTCCTCCTGTCACTGTTTTAGATATTACAATTTTAGATTCCTCCTGGCCAAAATGACTTTCTTACTAGTCAGAATTAAGTAAATATATATCAAATAACATTCTTAGCTAATAAGTAAAAAAATAAAAAGTCCATGGGCTGAAAAGTTTTAAAAAAAAATGTGGGCAACCACACTGGCTGCCAACTTAATCCTACAAAATAAAACAACTTTACTTTGCATTTCATATATTATTGCATTTGGCCCGTGGCCCTCAGACTGATTAGAATTTTGGCCCTTTCAGGGAAAATGTTTTTTAATTTTGGCCCTCTCAGGAAAAATGTTTGGGCACCCCTGGGCTAAAGGATCCGGATCTTGACAAGCCGGTTGTTTCGTAGAGCTATTCAGTTTTTTACGAGTAACATCATCTCTTATGCCGTACATGACTTTGTAATTCTGTCACATGGGCAGTAGCATGTGTTTTACCCTTCCCCCTGTGCTGATGTACTGAACTTCTTTGTTTGTTTTCCTTCATCTCAGTGAAAAAGCGAAGGAGGAGCAAAAATAAATAAATAAATAAATAAATAAATAAATAAATAAATAAATAAATAAATAGGAACGGCTCATTACAACGAACAAAAAGAAGTGAGTTGGCGACAGCAAAGAGCCGTGCAAAATATTCTAATCGTTCGCGAACATCACATCTCTAGTCCTTATTTTATACTTCTACACCTTAAACGACATGCTTGTTTAGGTTTTCTAAAAAATGCAGGTGATTTTACACTCCTGAATGTGTCCGTTCATCTTATCGGGATATTTAGCAAAGAAAAAGCCAATAATTACTGTATGGACATGTTACAGTGTTTGAAAGCATAGAATATGGAATGCATTGTTGTTGTGTTGTATCATAATTAAAAGCAGATGTTTCATTTAAAATCGGTGGCATTAGAATTTCTAGGGTTAGTGAAGTGAGATTTTTTGGGGGGGTTATTATTGATAAAAATCTGACTTGGAGACCCCATGTTAACTTCTTAAGAACTAAAATTGCAAAATCAATTGCAGTATTGTATAAAGCCGATGCATTACTTATATTATATAACGCTATAGCTGTGCCACATTTGACCTATTGTGATGAGGTCTGGGGGAGTGCATGTAAAATATTTACAAATCCACTTTTTATTTTTGCAAAAACGAGCGGTGAGAATCGTAACAAGAAAACACTACTATCACCCTGCAAATATTCTGTTTAAGCAACTGGAACTGTTGAAWTTTGGGGAATTGGTAGATTACAGGATTCTGTTGATTATGTATAAGGCTCATAAAAATGTATTGCCACCTAATATTCAATCCAGTTTTGTTAAGAGGGATAGTGTTTATAATTTGAAGGGACTTGAAAMGTTTGTAAAGCCAAAAATTAGAACAAATTTGAGGAAGCGATGCACGTCTGTTCGAGGAATTAAACTGTGGAACAGCTTGGACAATGACCTTAACTGGGACAATTTATTCATTTGGTAGAAAGCTTAAAAGTTTTTTTTAATGAGATGTGAACAAAGTATTGGTTGAAATTGATATTTCTGTTGTGATGTTGTTTTGTTGATTATTTTAAGCTATACTGTGAAAGTTTAGTTTAATTTGTGCATGTTGTATGTTTCGTAGATATTTATTTTTTTAATGGGGGCAGATGTTACAAGATTTTTTTTCTTTTTTCTGCTCCTTTTCATTTGACCATGCTGTGTGTTTTTTAATATTATTACTATTTGTAT